CCTCGCAGGGGGGGGCGGGGAGTGCTGTTATTTTCATCCGCCCGTGATCGCCGAAACGTGCCAGAGATGCAGGACGAGGCGAAGGAGGAGGAGGAGGAGGAACGGAGGAGGAGGAGGGGGAGGAGGAGGAGGAGGAGGAGGAGGAGGAGGAGGAAGAGGAGGAGGAAGCCCCCCTCCAGGTTGCAACAACCCCCCCTCCAGGTTCGCACAATCCCTGGGGTGTCAACGCCTCGCATCAACGTGACTGTTGTGTCCTGACAGTCTTCCATCGCGCCAGAACACCATTCCTGCGACTTCAACACCGCGAGCCAACGTGACTACTGCATACGGACAATCCCAAATCACGATCCCTGAATTCGTAAGCTTTGAAGACGAGTGCACGCAGCGCCAAAGCAAGAGCAACATTTTGAGCCACTGTTTGAAAAAGGATGCACCCTCCATTATTGAAACTGTTGCAAGCTAGTAAAATGAGTGCACGCGGCGCTAAGGCGAGACTTGCATTTGAAAGCACCGTCCGTCCTCCATTCTTGAAACTGTTGCAAGCGTTTGAAACGAATGCGCGCGGCGCAAAGGCGAGACCCACAACTTGAAAACAACCTACCCTCCATCAAGATCTACTGCGATCTTTTAGGACGACTATGCTCGGTGCTACGGCGAGACCCACATCTTGAAAACAATCCGCCCTCCATCCTTGAAGCTGCTGCAATATGTTAGGACGAATGCCCTCGGCGCTACGGCGAGACCCATACCTCGAACACCGCACACTCGACCCACTCGAGCTTCAGGCGCAGAAGTGGTGAGGAAGTCTCGAGCGAAACGCCTTCACGCGCCCTACTGGCACGCCTGGGGTTGCGACAGGTAGGGGTGACTTATGCAGACGGCAAGGGACCTGGGAGAGTTGTTTACCATCGACGGGGGGGGAACAGCCACGGTTCAGCACGGGGGTGGCGAGTCCTCCCCGAGGGGTGTGCAAACACACCTCGCTGGTGGGCATGCCCGGGCCAGCCGTAGCCCCACCGGCGGCAAAAGGGATGGGAGAGGAGGTCTGTAGCTCCACCAGCGGCATAAGCTATGGGAGAGGAGGAGGAGGAGGAGGAGGAGGAGGAGGAGGAGGTGAGGAGGAGGAGGATGAGGAGGAGGATGAGGAGGAGGAGGAGGAGGAGGATGAGGAGGAGGAAGATGAGGAGGATGAGGAGGATGAGGAGGAGGAGGACGACGAGAGGAAAAAGGAGAACGAGAACGAGGAGGAGGAGGAGGAGGACCAGAGCAAACCCGAGCTGCATCAACGATGCAACAGCACACCCTCCCGCCCCAAGCCCCCCCCTCGTGAGCCACGCGCGCCCTCGAGAGAGACTGCGCCCCGTGGGCCCGCAGGGGCGAACGAGCGCTGCGCTCTGGAACGGGGCAGCCGCGCACCCCTCGAACCATCACGAACTGCGGCAAGATGGGACACCGCCGGCGCCCGCCACGCCTTGAGAAGGAACCTCCTCCTCCTCCTCCTCCTCCTCCTCCTTCCTCCTCCTCCTCCTCCTCCTCCTCCTCATGGGACGCCGCCGGCGCCCGCCACGCCTTGAGAAGGAGCCGCCCTCTCCATCAATGCACCGGATGCGCGTATCTCGAGTCCCGGAGACGAAGATGGAATGCGTCTCAGGCGAGAACCCACTGTTTTGAAAAGAACCACCGTGCACGTGCGCAGCTGCTGCAGAGCTGTGCCACACGGCTCACATTGCTCGAGGACATCTCGAGCGAGAACCTCATTCTGAACATGGAGCCGCCTCCATCCTTTGTTTTTCTAGTTCCCACCCCTCCTGTAGTGTTGGGTCCTCGTTTTGAGGAGACAGTCCCCGCGTCCTTCCCCTTACCTCCACTTCCCTCCCCTCCCTCCTCCCCTATCCTTGCCGCTGCCCTCCGCATGTGTCTCTGTTTCGGCACACCCATCACACGCTTCGTGGCCCCAACAGACAGTCAGGTAAAGTTGGTGCGATCCGCTTGGGCTGTACGCGTGACTGAATTTGCCTGGACTGGAAGCGTGATTGAGGAAAATTCTTGGAGGCGCCTTCCCCCACCTGCTGCGCCCGCTCCTTGCCCCTGCGTGAATCGTCCTCGGAGTCCTTCGCTGCCCTGAACCCGTGTTATACAAGGGTACAGTGGCCCGACAGGATCCGTACCGAACACGCTGTTTTCCCACCACTCGGATCCGCCCCAAACCCATCGAATTCGCAAAGGATCCAAGCATCGGATCCGCATCGGATCCGTACCCAGATCCGACGCCCGAGGTCAAGTTGACACTCCCGAGCGGGGACCCTCGCCAACGTCTGCGACGAGGGCCCCTGCACTCGTCGGGCGCCCGACGCTGCGCCAATCGCCCGCGACCTTCCGCCGAACCATTTTTTCCTAAGCTGGCTAGGCCGACGGCCCCTGGCCTGGCTGGACCGACAATCTGGCCATTTCGTGCGATTTGAAGCTTCGGGCCGGATTCTCAAATCGTACCAACTTACCTGACTGTCTGTAGGGAGCTCCACCGAAGGCCCCAGCGGCAAAATCCGCATGGCGTACCCCCACCCGATTCGACAAACCCGCTTCGTGGGCCCATGGGGAGCTCCACCGAAGGCGCCAACGGCAAAGTCCGCTTGGCGTACCCCCACCCGATTTGGCACACCCCTCATACATTTAGTGGCCCCATACGGGGCTCCACTGAAAGCCCCAGCGGCAAGGTCCGCATGGCGTACCCGCGCCCGATTCAGCCACACCCCTCACACGTTTCGTGGCCCCATCAAGAGCTCATCCGAAGGCCCCCGCGGCAGGGTCCGCATGGCGCACCCGCACTCGATTAAGCACACCCCTCACACGTTGCGGTCCCTCATAGGGAGCTCCACCGCAGGCCCCAGCGTCAGTGTCCGCATGGCGTCCCCGCGCCCGATTCGGCACACCTCTGACACGTTCGTGGCCCCATAGGGAGCTCCACCGAAAGCCCCAGCGTCAGTGTCCGCATGGCGTCCCCGCGCCCGATTCGGCACACCTCTGACACGTTCGTGGCCCCATAGAGAGCTCCACCGAAAGCCCCAGCGTCAGTGTCCGCATGGCGTCCCCGCGCCCGATTCGGCACACCTCTGACACGTTCGTGGCCCCATAGGGAGCTGCACCGAAAGCCCCAGCGTCAGTGTCCGCATGGCGTCCCCGCGCCCGATTCGGCACACCTCTGACACGTTCGTGGCCCCATATGGGAGCTCCACCGAAAGCCCCAGCGTCAGTGTCCGCATGGCGTCCCCGCGCCCGATTCGGCACACCTCTGACACGTTCGTGGCCCCATAGGGAGCTCCACCGAAGGCCCCAGCGGCAGGGTCCGCATGGCGTACCCGCACCCAATTCGGCACACCCCTCACGCATGTCGTGTTCTCGAAAGGAGCTCCACCGAAGGCCACCGAAGGCCCCCACGGCAAGGTCCGCATAATGTGCCCGCATCCGATTCGGCACACCCCGCACACGCTTCGTGGCCCCATTGGGAGCTCCACCGAAAATCTCAGCGGCAAGGTCCGCATGGCGTACCCGCATCCGGTTCGGCTCACCCGTCACACGTAGCGTGGCCCCATAGGGAGCTTCATCCAAGACCCCAACTGCAGAGTCCGCATGGCGCACCCGCCCCATGTCGGCACACCCCTCACTTCTCCCTCGTGCTTCTTCTCACTTGCCTCGCGGTACCCGCAGCTTCATATGGTTGTGCTCTTCGCCAAGGTAATGATTCAAAGCGAATGTGCATGGCGCCAAAGCGCCAACCGAATCTTGGAAACAATTCGCCCTGCAACCGTGTAACTGTTGGATTTCTCTCGGACGAGTGTGCGCGGCGCCAGGTCGAGATCCTTGCACATAACAGATGGAAGCGTTTAGAACGAATATGCGCGGCGCCAGAGCGAGAATCAAATGTGGAAAACGATTGGCCATACACCCGTTGGCCCGCTTCGAGCGCCTGACCCCCCCCCGCGAGGAGGAGGAGGAGGAGGCGGAGGAGGAGGAGGAGGAGGAGGAGGAGGAGGAGAAGAAGGAGGAGGAGGAGGAGGAGGAGAAGATTCGCCATGCACGCGTGTAGCTGTTGCACCTGTCAAGCTTCCATGTCGAAGGCGGTCAGGAACTGTAAGACGCACCGTCGTGAGGCGCACCGTCGTTCCCAGCCACATAACAACATGCCTCGTAGTGACAGGGAGGATGTGCTCATCTGAGTCGGAGATTTTTTTTCGACTCGGCGGGGAACACACGAGGAGGAGAGGAGCTGGCCAGAGCGCCGGTACCGCCACTCATCCACCCTGAGCCTCGAAGCCCCGAATGGGGTGCGGCAACAGGGGTGCCTGACACTCGTGCTACACGTGCAACGCACAACGCAAACACCCGAGCAACATCCGCAGAAGAAAGCATGACATGTAGGACCGAACGACGGTGGCCTACCACATGGAGACAGGACCAACCAAGTGCGGGCAGCTTGGGAGGACCTGAGACCAGAACACCGAGAATTGGGTGACGGTGAGGCGGCACAGGAAGGGGGCGCTTTAGAGGAGCTCGGGAAATACAAAAAAAAAAAATGGGGGGGGGGGGGGCGAAGAGATCCGCTACTGTCTCCCTCCTCCTCCTCCTCCTCCTCCTTCCACCTTCCTCCGTCCTCCATCCTCGTCCTCGGCGTCGTATTGCGTCGTTTCCCCTTTCCTTTCTCCCTCTTCCCGAGCACCCTCCCGATGAACATCACCGCATCCCTCGCTTCCGTTGTTCAACATTTTTGTGTTATCACTCTCTCTTTATCCATATATGTGTCTCTGTTTCTCTTGTTTTGTCTCTCTGTCTGCCTTTTACATACATGTATGTTACACACATATATGTATATATATATATATATATATATATATATATATATAGGTGCTTGAACCCGTCAACTAACTCCCTCCGTATTGAGGTGCCTACGCGAAAGGGAAGCGGAGCGCTTCGTGAGGGCCCCAGTACTTGGGGGAGGCTCCACA